ACCTTGTTCTAGGTCATGACTCAAGTTTTCTGAATAGTTGCACCTTCCTCACCAACACTTTTCTTTATTGGAATAAGAAAATCTAGTAGCAACCAGTACTGTTAAATTGATGCAGATTACAAGTGGTCTCACTGGGCCAGGGGTGGACTAAAATGAGGTTTATCTTACCCTACTATAGTCCAAATATCAAAATTCCCTAAGTTTCATCACCAAAGTATTAACAATCTTGCCATCCTATAAATTTGATCTCCTAAGCATCTCCCATCACTACCCCACTCCTCACCTCAAAATCACATGCACCTCTGGCTTGCTCTCCTACAAAAGATTCTTAAGATACCTTGCATTCTCTTGCCCCCCCCCCCCACGCATTTCACACTGCATCCATGTCATGTCCCTTCACCTTCAATGGTATCCCATCATGTTTAGGATTAAGATTAGAATCCTTATGGCCCACAAGGCCTGACCTTGCTTGCTTTGCCAGCTTTGATTTTGGAGGTAAATTGTATATCATTATTTTTTTTTTTTTTTTTTTTTTTTTTTTTGGAGTGAACCTATGGATGCTTACCCATTGAGCCACATTCCCCAGTCCTTTGTTACATTTTTATTTAGAGACAAGATCTCACTAAGTTGCTAAGGGCTTCGCAAACCTATGGATGCTTACCCATTGAGCCACATTCCCCAGTCCTTTGTTACATTTTTATTTAGAGACAAGATCTCACTAAGTTGCTAAGGGCTTCGCTAAATTGATGAAGCTGGCTTTGAACTTGTGATCCTCCTGCCTCAGCCTCCTAAGCAGCAGCTGGGATTACAGGTATATGCCACTATACTCAGCTATGTATTTCAAATGAAGAAAAAATACATGAAAGACCTTTAGGCAGGACCAGGAAAAAGTATTTTTTGAAAAAACCCATTATTTGAAAATAACAGTGATATTTTTCCTTTTTTATATTTTTCAAATTCAGAACAATTCACAATCTTATAACTCAAGCCAAAATGACTGAGCTAAGGGCACTACTGAATAAAGACATTTTCTGGAAATCAGCATTGCTTACTTAGACTCTGCTTCTTCCCCAGTTGTTTGCCAGCCTCAGAAAATGTTTATGCACCAATTATCCCATTGTAAAGTCTAGGAATCCACATTAATTTAGCAAGTGTTAGGCTGTATGCCAATTTAAGAAGCAAAGAATGAAGGGTTCCCAAAATGGTCCTGAGGAGGGATGGTCAAGGAAAAGCAATGTCTTTGTGAACTTCTGTAGCAAAAAAACCTCTTGGTTCAATCCCCAGTGCAATAAATAAAACCAAACAACTATGTGGCATTTGACTACTTAGTGTCATGCAACCACCACTTCTTTTCAAAACATCTTTCTCATCCTTTGTGTGTTTTAAGCCTATTTCCTCAGAACTACTCATCCTTCAATACAGTTTTACATACAACCACTCAAAGAGGTTTTAGCATTCAAAGCTTTCCAGAATTGGTACTTTCCGATAGCACCAAACTCTAGGAAGAGGGTAGTCTGGGTAACAGTACTCAGAGCAGAGCTGGCCAAAGTGTTCTGCCCAATTTATAAGTCAAGTAAGTTTGAGAAATAAGTTCCTGAATTCACTTTATAACTTTTCATAAACTTTATTATGCTAAGGTGCATTACAGAGAAAGGCAACAGTCCTATTGAGTCTCGAAAACATCCAGTTAGGAAGCTGTGGAACCTGCTTCTAGGATGCTGAGTGGTTCTGGGCCTCATGTAGAAAGAACTTTGAAGGTCCTGTTTCTTGGTGCATTGAGCAGGACCAGTCTACTTTTGGAGGATGTCTTAGGTCAGACTCCCACTCTGGTGGAAGTTTCTATTAAAGGCTACTCTGGTTCATAAAGAATATGAATACGCTACCCACACACCTGTATCCATGTCACCTAACTAGGAAGACAAACTAGTTAGCATTTGTTAGGCCAAAAAACATTGAATGTGCTTGGCTTTGACAAGATGGGAGCTAGATAATGCCAATATAAACTCACCAGCCATCCCCTTAGAAGAGTGCCAAGAATAGGGGTGCTCCTTGTGGAGCAGGAATCCATCCACATGGTCCTGCACCCCCTTTCATGTGTTCCACCTACTGTGAAAGTAACAATGCATTTAAAAGTAAATGAGGCAGAGAGAGGCATAGACGTACAAAGTTAACTCATGCCCCAATTCTTGGAGACCCTTTCTCCCTTTCCAACTTTACTTGGCTGACTCTAACCAAAACCAAAAGATATATGGCATCCAAGTAATGATCAAAATGACATGACATTCATGGCAAACAATCTACAAACAAAAACCGCCCCATCATAGACCCAGAACGAGAAACCCAAATAAAGAGCAGAGTATATAGCTCAGTAGTATAGCGCTTGAATAGCATGCACAAGGCCTGGGTTCACTCCCCAGATTGGGGTTGGCCGTGAGGGGAGGCAAGGATGAGGAAGACAGAACTAAGACATTGTGGAGTCAGAGTATGATTTTAGGGAATTGTCAGGCCAGAGTACTGATGGAAGCAGGGTGATCCTTATTTATATTTTGTTCCAAGAATTATTAATATGTTCATTTTACAAATTCACTGAGAAGGCTGAAAAGAGTGGAGAAACAATAAGGTACAACAAAGCACAACACACTTTAAATTTAGAGGTAAATTTTTTTAAATATTTTTTTTAGTTTGTTAATCAACCTTTATTTTATTTATTTATATGTGGTGCTGAGAATTAAACCCAGTGCCTTACACGTGCTAGGCAAGTGCTCTACCACTGAGCCACAATCCCAGCCCTAGAGGTAAATATTTTTAATGGATTTTTGTTTTTCCACTCCTTAAAACCTACAGGCAGAGTGATGTCATAAAATCCCATGGATTTTCCCCCATCAGAGAGCAGCTGGTGTTGTGGCTCAGTGGTAGAGCACTTGCCTAACATGAGGCACTGAGCTCGATCCTCAGCACCACATAAAAATAAAGGTATTGTGTCCATCTACAATAAAAAAAAAAAAAAACCTAATAGTAGTAGAACACAGTAGCCCATGCCTGTATTTTCAGCTACTTGGGAGACTGGGGCAGGAGGATCACAAGTTCAAGGCAACCTGAGCAATATAACAAGACTGTCTCAAAAAAAAATAAATAAATAAAGGCTGGAGATGTAGTTCAGCACCACAAAAACAGCAACTCAATAGGAAAATTATTAGGGTTTGAACTAGGATGAGAGAATAGAGATGTGGTAGAGCATTAGGTGAGACAGCATGCAACCCCTCCCCCTCCATGAATGAGATAATGCATTTAAAACAGCAAGCATACCTCTACACCCAGCTCAGTAGTGGACCTGACACTACCTATAGAACACTACCAGAAACAGGAAGGGGTAACGGTTTAGCCTCAAGTGTATATCTGAAATCCCCAGTATTTGTCTAAACTGCCTCCTGTTTGCTGTTCTCATCTGCTGTTCCTTATCTTACCCAGCTCTGGGATCCATTGAGACTTCTAGGACCATATCTGGTCCTCCCACCCACCCTGGCAAAAAGGTCCTGCCCTCCAGTCTTCTCCCACTATGTTCAGACATAGAAAATAGGCCACCCCTGGTCCAATCACCCCAGGTGAGGTAATATTTTTGCTGACCAAGTGTAAACCAGTCTGGGCTTATAGACTTGAAACCTAAATATGAATTGAGTACCTACAGGATTTCATAAATAATATTTATTGCCCTGATTAATGAGACTCCCCAAAGAAATGCAGGACCAGATTCAAAAGGGAAAGAATCCCAAAGTAGCCACCCACGAAATTAATAATAGGCCCATCTGCACTATAGAGTAAAGCCATGGAGAGACTGGGGGGGGGGGGGACGACTTTGTGCTGGGAAGGCTACAAGGCAGAGGAGGTTCACAATCCCAGCAACGCTCACTTCCTGCAAGGTAGTGAAGCCAGATTTAAAGTTAGGTAGTCAGTGTAGTTAGGTAAATCAGGTCTAATATCGAATAAGATCTAAAATGGAGGCCATGTTGAGAATGAATTCCGGAAGCACAGGACAACTCATGGAATGTTAATGAAGTCCAGGAAAAAGCCCAAGGCCAAAGCCCATCCTAAAGAAGTGTTAATGAACAGCCCCCAGCAAACAGGAAGATAGCCCATCCCAAAGAAGTGTTAATGAACAGCCCCCAGCAAACTTGAAGGTGCTGACTCAGAAGTCCTTCCTGACCAGATTACTTCTTTGGCCCACCTGCGTCCCACCTCTTGGGCCCTCCCACCTACATTCCATCACTGAAAGAAACTATAAAATGGAGAGACAACTGCACTTCCACGGATTCCATCTCTTGGGTCCCCCTTCTTCCTCCGGCAGGAGAAGTCTTTTCTGCTCTCCTTTAATAAACTTCTATTTTCCACTCTGACCTTGCCTGGCGTGCTTCTCTGGTGTTATTCTTCAACACTGGGGAAGCAAGGACTCGTCACCGGTCAACAGCGGTAACAGGAGCACAGCAATAAATGACAGAAAGGCACTGGGGTTTGGGATCAATTTGGTATGGGTGCCACTTCCAGCACTTTCTGCCAAGTTACTTAATTTTTTTTTTTTTTTGGGGGGGGGGTGTGCTGGGGATTGACCCCAGGGCCTTGTACATCTGAGGCAAGCACTCTACCAACTGAGCTGTATCCCCAGTCCAAGTTACTTAATCTTGCTGAATGTGTTTTCCCATCTGAAGAAATTGGAATAGTAATTCAATTATACATGGCTGTGCTAATTTTGTGAAATAGTATATGTGAAATGTGCTTTGCAGCAGATGGTTTTCAAACTATTGACCACAAAACACTGTCAAAACAAAACAATTTTTTTTACATTATATAAACTTGTGTGTGTTTGTGTGTGTGTATAAATGTATACAACTAAAAGGTTTCACAAAAAAAAAAAAGAAGCCATTCAAGAGTCACTTGGTCTTTTTAATTTTTTTAAATGCTGATTGCATTTCACTACATCGTTGGCTAATAAAAAACACTATTGGAAATCATACCATTGTCCTTTATTACAACTGTTAACATGATTCTCAGGGATGGTCCAATGACTAGGAACTTCATTGCCAGGGCAATAAAGTAAGAGGTCAAGGTTATTAGGTCAAGCCCTAGAGAGTCCCGTTGTCAAGGGAACAGGTTCGCCACGTCACGGTCCGCTTACCCATGCGTTCTAGCCCTCTGGAGACAAGCAGTGGCCAGTTCCTTTGTCACTCATCAGTCCTTGGGGCAGCCCGCCTCCAGGCTCGGAAGACCCGCCTCCTCCCTAAAGTTAAGCGAGGAATACAGGGATTGGAAATTTAGACGGTGACGTAACTTTCCGCTTTACGTGGCCTTCCGCTCGCTCGGCAGTCGGAGGGGGTTCGGGGTTCTTTTGGCGGGCTCCCGGTCCCTCCGCCCTCAGAGGCTCCATGAGGTCAGTTAGCTACGTACAGCGCGTAGCGCTGGAGTTTAGCGGGAGCCTCTTCCCACACGCAATCTGTCTCGGAGACGTCGATAACGATGCGGTGAGTGCATGCGCACTATAAGGGACGCAAGCAGCCTGCATCCGCGCGGGGCGGGGCTAGGGAGGAAGCCGCCGCCGGAGGCGCGCCTGGTGAGCCATGAGCATGCGCGCTGGCTGGAAAACTTTATTGATGTCTTCCGTTCCAGACGTCACTGCCGGGGTAGTTAGGCAGATACCCTGGGAGCTATTTCTCTTCTGCCTAATTCAGTAATTTGTTCACAGTAGAGCCTGATAAACTCCGGTGATACCTGGACTAGTTAACGAGTTAGCCTCCCCTCATGGCATCACCTTTCAGATTACTACCTTAAACTGAAAATGATACCGCGCTGCATATAACTCCGCTGCTCCAGACTTCCCTAACCCCTCCCACCCTGGCAGAATTGGTCATTCCCTCGTTGTCTCACATGGCTGTAAACGCACCTTTGCTCTTGCACTATGTTCCGGAATAGAACAGGATTTCTCTGCCTCCTGTTGTCGGGCAACTTGTTGCCCCTATCTTGACACTGTCGGGTTTCTATAGTGCCTACCCAGAGTAGAGACAGATGACTGGCATCTTTAAAGTGTTAACGCTTTGTTGAATTGCAGAAGCAATCTCCATCTATTTTTCTTTTTCTCAGCAATCATTACTACTTTCGTTGTTTAAATAAGTCAGTACAGATAAAGCACGTAGAACAATTCCTGGCACACTACTAACACTCATTAATTGTTTTTTTTTTTGTTGTTGTTGTTGTTGTTTTTTTTTTTTTTTTTTAGCTTTCAGCAGACACAACATCTTTGTTTGTATGTGGTGCTGAGGATCGAACCCAGGCTGCACGCATGCCAGGCAAGCACGCTACCGCTTGAGCCACATCCCCAGCCCTCACTAATTGTTAGTGCTGTTTTATTGCAGTCTGCCCTTCCTATCTAAGTGTTCTGCATTAGGGATTCCACCAACCAGGGATAGAAAATATCTGGAGAAAAAAAAATTGGGTCTGAACTGAAATTATAGACTTTTTTTCTTGTTATTGTTTCCTAAGCAATACTGTATAACAACTATAATCGTGCATCACTCAATGAAGGGGATGCTTCTGAGGAGTACATTGTTAGATGACTTCATTGTACTAACATCACAGAGTGTACTTACACAAACCTAAATAGTATGGTCAACTATAGGCTACATAGTATATACCTTCATATATGTGGTCCACCATTGGTTGAAATGAATGTAGCGCATGACTATTTGCATAACACTTTAGAAATGATTTTAAGTATATGGGAGGTCGGCCCGAACTTCAAGCATCCTTGGATTTTGGTATTCACAAAGTGGGAAGAGCTGGAACTAATCCCTCATAAATAGGAGGGACAGCTGCAAATTATATTACCTTTTTTTTTTCCCACCTAGCTCCATTACTGTAAGTTCCATAAGGATTGAATTTATTTATTTATTTATTTTTAAAGAGAGGGAGCTTGCAGTTTTGCCCACACTGGCACCAAACTCCTGGTTCATGCCATCTTTCTGCAGTACTCTGAGAACTGCAACAACAGGTCCTTGCCCAGCCAGAATTTTTACTTTTGATATATATGTACTAGGGATTGAACCTAGGTGCACTTTACCACTGAGCTACATCCCCAGATCTTTTTAAAAATTATTATTACTATTTCCATTTGAAGACAGGGTCTCACTAAGTTCTTAAGTCCTACATTGCTGAGGCTGTCATCGAATTTGCAATCGTCCCACCTTAGCCTCCAGAGTCACTGGGATTATATAAATTCCAAGCCCAGCCAGGAATTTTTTTTAAGTCTGTTTTTTCACTGCTTTATTCCCAGCATCTTAGATCCTGGCACGTAATAGTCATCCAACAAGTGCTTTTTGATTAAATTAATATTGTTATTTTCAGAAAGCAAATTGAAGCCAGGCATGTAGGCATACGCCTGTAATCCCAGAGACTGGAGTCTGAAGCAAGAGTATTACAAGTTGCAGGCCAGTCTCAGCAACTTGAACAAGGCCCTATGCAAATTAATGATACCTGTCTCAAAAGAAAAAAGAAATGGGGATGTGGCTCAGTAGTAAAATGCCTCTGGGTTTGATCCCCAGTACCAAAAAAAAAGAAAGAAAGAAAGCAAATTGAAAAAGACATTGTAGGCTAGAATGTAGCTCAGTAGTAGAGCATTTATCTAGTATTTACCAAGCCTTAGTTCAGTCCTCAGCACCACAAAAGAAAAAAAAAAGAAGAAGAAGAAAGAAAAGCAATTGTGTTTATGTGACACAAAACAAATTGAAGAGCTTTGCCTGCTATTTATAAATATAATTGAAAGAAGGGCAACTAAATAAGACAGTTGGCAAGTGGTCAGGTATAACACTTGATCCACAGAGTGGAGATAGAAATTTTGTTAGGGGGAATACTTAGGGTTGTAACTCAGTAGTAGAGTACATGTGTGAGGCCCTGGGTTCAATTCCTGGCACCACTGAGAAAAAAGAATTTTTGCTAGTGGTTCTAAGCTAACATTTGGAGATTTAGGAACAGGGAAAAAAAAAAAACTGATTTCAGCCTACTAAAACCCATAGCTTAAAGCTCTTTGAAACCAATTTCTTCCTCCTTTAACATTGCTAACCAATCCAATGGTGAGTGACCACTGGAGGCCAGAACCAAGCTCATCCACAGAGATCTGGTGGGAAGCATTCTAGCTGCTGGAAATGTCTTCTCCCCCAGGATGTTGCCTCATTCACTCTCTGCCTGGCTGACTCACATCTGCTTGCTCACTGTACCTACAACACTGTTTTATGATTTTCTTCCTGTGTCTGTGCACCAGCCTCCACTCGCACCCATCCCCCACCCCCCACCACCTTGCCTGGCAGAACTGGAAGCTCCTTCTCAGCAGGGAGTCTGACATTTATCTTTGTACCCCCAACTGGTTGTCCAGCTTTACCTGAAAACTACAGGACTGACCTGGCATTCTCTTTCATTTAACTTTTCTAGTGTGTAGGAAGCCCTGGATTCCATCCTCAGCTCTGCAACCAAAAAAAAAAAAAATGCATGCATACACACACACACACACACACACACAAAATCTTTGTTGTTTGTTCATAAAACATTTATTGAGGTTTTACTTGTGTATTGTGGCATTTGATGAATAAATGTATAAAAATTAATTCTATGAAAGATGCTAACAAATTCCCTATCCTTGGAGGAGTTCAACTAGAGGCTAAAACTCCACCTGGTATTGGTATTCACTGTAAACCAATCACTGTTCTAAAGGCCTTCCTCTGTTGGTTCGATTCTCACAATCTTATGAGGTAGATATTCTCATTATCCTTTTTACTATTTAATTATTTATTTTGCAGTGCTGGGGATTGAACCCAGGGCATTGCTCATGCTAGGCAAGTGCTCTAATACTAGCTACATCCTCAGCCCTATCCTGGTTTTATAAATGAAAAATGTAAGCAGAGAGAGCTGGATTTAAATCCAGCCAGTTTCACTCTGAACCCAAACACTGTGTTCCCTTTCTCCTGGGTGTCTGTAAAAGTCTTCTTGGCAGCCATATTTGAAATGTTGGCTATAGAGTTTCATATAAATAAGATCTTTGTATTCTGTGATCTACTATTCTCACCAGAAATTCCCATAACTATTAAAAAATAAATCCAAGAGTCAAATCATTATTGATAAATCCCAATTTGCTTCTAACTTTTTCTTATGTTTATTATTGTTGGTGGTATTTTGTTGTTATTGTTTTATTTTGTTTTGCTTTGCTTTTGGTACTGGGGATGGAACCCAGGGATTCTTTATCACTGAGCTACACTCCCAGTTCTTTTTTATTTTTTATTTTGAGATAGAGTCTCACTGACTTGCTGAGGCTGGCCTCAAACTTTTGATCCTCCTGCCTCAGTCTCCCAAGTTGCCAGGATTACAGGAGAGCACCATCAGGCCCAGCTTTTTGTTGTTGTTTTGAGACAGTATGTCTCATTATGTTGCCCAGCTGGCTTTGAACTCCAGGACTCAAGCAGTCCTCCTGCCTCAGTCTCCCTAGTAGCTGGAACTATAGACGTGCATCACCACACCTGGCTTCCTTACTGTTGATCTCTTTGTTGCCTTAGAGTTAAATCTCTTGAGAATCTAAGTTTAAGATTAGATTCTGTTCTCTCTGTTTGGGGAATAGGAGTAGGGTTAGCTATACCTCCAAGAGCAAATCATAAAGCTGATTGTAGAAATAGAGTTTAGAGCCATTTGGTTTTCATGGTTAATCCCTAAAAGGGCAGCTGCCCAGGTAGGTAGCAGTCATAGGGAAGAGCCTTCATGTTGGGGTGGCCTCATCCACCCACCCACCCAGAACCTAGCCACCACTTGAGGGCACCAGAGACTCAGAGCACAGAGACTCTGCCCCTCAGTCACCAGAATCCCTTTTGTATTCACACATGCTGCCAAGATCCAAAGGCCTAGAGGAGGGAGGCCCCAGGAGCAGACCTTATCTTTTTATTTAGCTCCTGATTGAATACAAGGTTTGAAGTTAGAGTCTTCAAGAGTTCAATATCACTAGGCATGATATTGCATGCCTGTAATCCAGCTACTTGAGAGGCTGAGGCAAAAAGATCAAAACCCACCATGGCAATTTAATGAGACCCTATTTCAAAATTTAAAAAAAAAAAAAAATTAAAGGGTTGGAGGTATAGTTCACTTGAAGAGTATTCCTGGGCTCAATCCCCAGTACAAGTTTAAAAAAAAGAAAGTTTAAAAAAATCAGTATCTTAGGCTGTTTTCAAAACCATTTTGTCCCATTTATAATGGACAAATTAGAAGAGCTGAAGTCAGGCATGTGGGGCAGAGAGCTGTTCAGATGTCAAATTTTTCTGGGAAGGATCATAGATTCCATATAGCATCCAACACATACACCTACCTAAATGGAAATATTTAAATCCTGGGAAATTGATTTTGTCTGTTTGTTTTTGGTGCTGGGAATAGGACCCAGGGCCTCACATAAACTAGGCAGATGCTACAACTGAGCTATATCCTTACCAGTCTCAAAGGACTTTTTTTTTTTTTCCTACAGTATTAGAATAAATTCAGGGAGGCTCTACCAGGAGCTACATCCTTAGCAACC